TACACAAAAACACCTGACATATGAAGAGCCCTATAGCAAAACGCACTTTATCCAAATTGGTACAAAATTGAGAAAAATGGAGGGGGCGGGTAGCATTTTTCTGAAAGCAAAAGTATGAACAAAACTCAATTTAAGCATACATTGATCTACATGGTATATAATTAGTATATCAAGGAATACTGTACAGAAAAAAAATGTTATATTTAACTAATTTTATTCGCACCACAGTTTTTGTCTTTAGATAAAGGATCAGGTGGTACTTTCCGAGAATGTCCAACTTTGGCATATAGTGCTTTTTGCAAAGGAACCCTCTAAATTATAAAGCTGGTAGATTCTGCTGGTTAAGTTAGTCTTTTGTTGCTGCTGCACCACCATGAAGATTTCTCTATCCTTTGGCCTTCTACTGCTGGCCCTGTTTGCCTCTGGGGATGCGGCAGTGCCCATTGTCAGCGGATTTTTGCCACCCCCAGGTAGGTTTAGTAACGTGTTTTGGTATTGGGGGGGGTGTTTTGGTTTGTGGTTTGTTTGATTGTTTTTAGTTGTTGTTTTTAGTTGTTGTTTGTTGTTGATGTTGTTGTTGTTGCTGCTGTTGTTGTCGTGGGTTTTTTTTGTTTTGTTTGTTTTGTTTTGTTTTGTTTTGTTTGTTGTTGTTGTTGCTGTTTTTTTAGGGAGTCTTATGAGCAAAGGAATGAATGGAGAACTATGATGAAGTAAGTGATGGGTTTTACGCCCCCTGTCAATATTATTAGGTTATTTTTAAGAGATGGGGCCTCCACACTTAACGTCCGTCTCCAATGGGACCGAGCCGAAGGGGTTGAGAGCATTGAAACTGTCACGAAACGATCCCGTTCAAGAACCCCCAGTCGGAGATTCGAACCAGGTCAATCCATTCTGTAGTCCAGCATGATACCAACTGAGCTAACGGAGCGCCTCTAGGTAGGTTTGTTCGTCGGTCAAGTTTCTGACATCGACCAATACATCTCACAAGGATAGATCTAGTGTTAATTTCTTTGAACTAAAAAGAAGAGTAAAAGGTTATGATGGCTTGTGGCTTCTGCCATGGCCAATGACACCAATGCTGCCAGAGAAAAATTGCCACTTTTTTAAAGCCTTTTTAAGCTTTATTTCCACTAATACTTTGTGGATGCACGCAGTTAATTTGGCTTCAGCGTTTCTGAATACCCGTGTAGGGTGGTCATATCGATTAATTCTAGAACAATTTCTTTTCTAAAAAAATAATAATAATAACAAAATACAATGACTGGTTTCTATAGATGTAATAAGGTTTTCATTCAATGATCTGGCACAATGTCGATTTTAAAAGCAAGCCCGTCCTTTCTTCTACTCGTGACACCATACGTAGTATATGTATACGCATGTTTTGAGAACTTTTACTAAACGTTTTAGTGAAAAAAAAGTGTTTACTGTAAAACTTTTTTTTTTTTGGCAACAAGTTTTGTCACTAAAGAGTATCAATTGTGATTTGTGACGTAGGCCACTTCCGAATGTAAAATATGTGTGAGAAGCGTGAAGTTCTGTGAACAATTACATTTTCCGAGATACGGAGATTTGTTGTATGTTGTATAAATGTATGAAGAGAAGTGTTTAAATCGAACTTCAATTGTCGTGGCGAAATATGATTAAGTTAAGACAAATTAATACAAACTGCTGTGCAAACTATGTTGGGACATTGATTCACCCGTTAAAGAGATGACCGTCAATGATTTATTTATAGAGAGGCACCATCCATCGTTAAAGAGATATTTGAGGACAAGTTGCACCACGACTGTTTGACCGCACTAGAATTAATGACAATCTTTCTCAGAGGGTACCGGAGCATCCCCAGCGCCGGACCAGTGGTTTGAGCAGCCTCTGGATCACTTTGACGGCGCCAACCCCAGGACATGGAAACAGGTGATTGTTGGCGCCAGGCCTATGTGTGAAGGAATTAATGGCTGAATGAAGAAAGAATGAACGAATGAATGAATGAATGAATGAATGAAAAAATGAATGAATGAATGAATGAATGAATGAATGAATGAATGAGAGAAAGAAAGAAAGAAAGAGAGAGAGAGAGAGAAAGAAAGAAAAAAGAAAGGATAAATACTTGAATGATAAATAGCCAGAAGAAAGAAAAAAGACCAGAATTAAGGAGGAACATAAGTATATGAAGAAGGAAGGAAGGTAAAACAGAAAGAAAGAACGGTTTAAAAGTTCTAAAGATTTTTTTTTAATGGAAAGGGACGGGTAAGAAAAGAAAAGGGAGGAAAATGAGACAAATAAAGTGAGAGTAAGAAAAGCAAGTAACTGACAAAGACGAAAATAAAGAAAAAAGAATTAGTGAGAAAAGAACGAGAGAAGGAAGGAAAAAAAGAAAAGATGAAAAAAAAGACAAATCTCTATCTCAAAATTACAAAGTTCTGTCTTACTTTTTTTGGCCGTTTTGGGTTACAAAGACCATGAGGTCAAAAACCAATAAATGCTCTATATTCTGTGTATTAAAATCGTAAGATCATTCAGAGTGGCTATCAAGATTTTCAAATAATTACATTCGTTAAAGTTTGACATGATGTGAAACTCATTATCTTAAACGTACAATTTGTCAAATCTAGGTACTGATCAGATAGAACTTTGTAATTCTGAAGTAGCCAAATGTTTATCAATCAATCAATCAATCAATCAATCAATCAATCAATCAATCAATCAATCAATCAATCAATCAATCAATCAATCAATCAATCTGAAACATACCATAGTCCATGGCTTTTTACCTCTTCACTGCCAAGCCCCACATAAAATGAGTAATGAAGCAGGTCTTGGAGTAAAAGCGCGTCCTTGCATTCCATAGTGAAAGATCTTGTCAGTTTGTTAGTGTTGGAGCACTTAACCAGCTGCTTGCACTGTATGCTTCCCGGGAAGCTGTGAATGTTTCTGAGTGTTCTATGGTCTGCTGGAGTAACAATATAGTGTAAATTGTAAAGTGCATAGAGCTTGCTTTCGAGTGAGGACGTGCGCTATACAAATGCTATCAATTATAATTTATTTAGTCTCAGGCGTAACAATCTAACAATCCATTGCAGATCATTTATTTATTTTAGTAAGAGTTTTACGGCATTTGCCACACAATAAGGTCCTATAAGTTCTGAAGATTAGAGGTGTTACAAGCTAGATTGTTAATTTGTTTAAAACAATTTTAAAATTTCGTTATGTAAAATGTACGGTACCCTTTTTTTCTTTCCTACGTAATTTCTTCCACTTCAGAGATATTTCACGTCAAGCGCCCACTACACCAAGGGAGGCCCACTGTTCGTGTTCATCGGGGGCGAAGGAGGGATGTCTCCCATCTGGCTGGATGAAGGCGCATGGGTGGAATACGCCAAGACCTACAAGGCTTTTCTGGTGGCGATAGAGCATCGGTACTACGGCAAGAGTCGCCCGACTGAGTGAGTAGATGATGATGATGATGATGATAATGATGATGAGGATGATGATAGTGATGGTGAGGAGGAGGAGGAGGAGGAGGAGGA